AAGGCCAGTATGTGGTTATGTATTAAATTTTGGTATATTTTATAATGAAGGATGTTTAAACAATTATAATCAAATGAAAATGGAGAGACGATGATGGTGACATGTATAAATATTTAAGTTAAAATACTTAAGTTAATATGAATTATGTTTGTTGACTATGGAAGAGATGCATGAAAATCTTTTTGTAACCAACTGATACACTTTCTATAGCATGTAAAGAAGGATGTTGTATTTGTTGTAATTAAACATTAAATTTTTTAATTAAAATAAATAAATTCTGCCCACATTCCCTCAATTCCGAGCAATGTAAACTGGACTTCAAAGTCTACTCAACAGACTACATACAGCATTACTCACCTATTCACCTTTTCACCTATTCTAGATAAGAAATCAGTGGCTGCCCCTCCCCAAACAATATCTGAATAAACTTCCTGCATTCAGCTGTCTGTCTTTATCTCTCAGTAAAGTAAGGTTGGAAATAACCTTGAGTAAGTTCCCTGGAAACATCAGCACCTTGGTCTGCCCTTTAAATTGATAATATACTAGTAATTTTATTCAAAATAAACTTTTTAAATCAGGAATAAGCATATTTACAAATCTCAGTCCCAACTACCATGCTAAAATGTCAGGCCAAAATAATACTTGGTGTTGTTAGTTGCAAAGTCGTGTCCGACCCAGCGTGACCCCATGGACAACGTTCCTCCAGGGCTTAAAATAATTCTAGCAACTCTTAAACAGAATGTCTGTGGAGATTCTCAGTCATCCAGGTCATGGTTGTCCCAAAGGTGCTTTTTTTCAAGAGACAACTGGACTTTCTGGTGAAGACGTTTCGCCAAGAAGCTTCTTCAGCTCTGAAGGTTCTTAAACAGAACCTCTTCCTTAACCATTTGGGGAATCCTGACCTAAATCCTGAGATCTTGGCAGGGTGAGCTCATGGTTTCTGCCCCTGCTCTCGGGAGATTCCCGATCTATCCCCAGATCGCTCCTGAAGCGGATCCCCAAGGCAGCGCCCCACCCTGGCCGAGCCCAAACCCAGGCAAGACGGGGCCAGCCGGCTCACCCAACAGCAGCAGCTTCAGCTCCTTGTTAGAACGCCGCTTGTCTCGACGCAGCCGCCGCTCGATCTCCAGCCTCAGGAGCCGGTTCGCCTTCTGCTCTTCGGATAAGCAGCAGCACTGCCCGCCCATGCTCGGCAGCGCCCCGGGAGAAGCCGGGCTGAGGGCGCCCCTTTCTTTGACAACTTCGAAGGTCCCTCGGATAACTCGGGCGCTTCTTCCCCGCCAGGCAGAAACACAGATCGCGGGCCAGGCGAGAGCAACGGGTGGGAGGCCGCAACTCCGGCTGAATTGTCAGCGGACTCGGCTCGTTCCCCAGGGAGAGTGAAAGTCCCTCGATCGGCGATCCAGGCCACGCCCCGCCAACCCACGTTCACTTTTCGGGAAGGAGCCTTTCCGCTTCTGGCCCGACGTGGGTCTGTTTTCCTTGGGAGGCAAGGGAGCGTTTAAACTTGCAGCGTTTACTTTCTTTCCTTGTACGGATGAAGATCCGGCGCTGTTCCGGGAACAGCAGATCTGCCCCCCCCCCCTTTTCAGGCGCTCCGACAACCTCAAGGTTACCTGGGTTGTCTTCGGTCCAGGTGCACCCTCGCCATCGCCCTCGTTCCTTCCCAAAAGTCAAAGCGCCGTCCGTTTAAACGCAGCGAATCGACGCCTCGTGTTACGCCACGATTTACTGAACAAAAAACAAAACAAACAACGTTTGACAGAGTTACCCAGCGCGATGTCCTAAATCGTGGCTTAACAAACCACAATGGCTGGCTTCGTGCAATGTGCTAAGCCGAAGCCAAGCCACGTTATGGATCAGAAATAGTCTTTATACTTTGCCACTCAATGGCATGTGGGGTGGAGGGGTGGGTGGAGGAAGAGGAAATAAGTGCAAAATGATGGGTGCGGTGTGGTGATCCAAGCTCCACATCCCTGCTGTCATGTGCACATACAAAACAGGCAGAGCTTGGGTTGTGACACAGTTCTCCACCATCTGGCTGATTTTGATCAGCCTCCTTTGAAGGAAACTTCTATCTAAGCCCTAATGTGGCTCCCGGCTTAATAATAAGGTTTGATCCAAATTGTTATATAGGTCATTAACCATGGTTCATGATTCAAGGATACATTGAAGAGGGTGAGTAGATTCAATGAGAACTATCAAAACTCATTGGGGAAAAAAAGATTTTTGAGCTGGTAACTTTGCAACAGGATCCAGCTCACCTGTTCAGTGAGCGCCAGTTGCCACCAGTTATTGACTTTTGTGATTTCCCATCTCTCAATTCCTTACTTGCCTCTGCTTTCTATCAGGGTCAACATTTGAGGGGTCTTCTTGCTTATTTCCCATAGCTTTCCCCAGTTTTGTCCTTCTCTTTTTCTGCATGCCTTAACAGGTATATTCTTCCCAGTACGGATATCATTGTGCAATGCACATCCCTCCCCAGGCAGGATAAATAAATTTCACCTACCTGAATTTTTGAACTTTCACCTGTTGGGTGGATACTGCCTTGCACACCTTCAGTAGTGAATTTCTCTCACAAAATGTTAAAAAGCAGGATCCCTGGAACCACCACAGACCAACAACAAGAAGCAATACTAATTTAAACATCCAGTACTTAGTCCAAGAAAACTGTGTTTCCTATATATAAACACAGTTTTCTTGGACTAAGTACTGGATGGATGGATGGACGGACGGACAGATGATAGATGGATGATAGACAGATGATAGATGGATGGAGAGAGAGAGAGAGAGAGAGAGAGAGAATGTATGTATGTATGTATGTATGTATGTATGTATGTATGTATGTATGTATGTATGTATGTATGTATATGTATTTTTTCTAGCCCAACATAATTTTGAAAATAAATCATTGTGGGGTCTTGAGATGGACTCACTCCATCTGTCTGTGTGTCTATCACCAGAAGAACTTTGTAAACTAAACGAGATGAAATTTCATTGAGAAGGGAGAGCCATAGAAAGAAAGATTGAGTTCAACATAGTACAGATCTGTAGATAAATATTCCAGAAAAATTCCCTTAGTGCATTCCTGTCAGGCAGTTGAGAAGTGACTCAGTATGTTGCTGATTGCTCCATTCTAAGTGCTCCTCCCTCTCAGTCATGTGACCAACAGAGGATGTATATAATCTGCTTTATTCCTCCCAGTCTTTGCAGAAACATGTATAGAGGCACAAAGGTGTGATATGGCACCTCATTCCACAGCAGAAAATGGAATCAACTCGTATGAATACTCTTGGTAAAAAGTTGGGAGGGGAGGTTTACTCCATCTTTTTATTCTTTTGAAATCCAGCAAAATTACATAAAGAGGCTTAAGACTTTGGCTAGTGGACAGACTTAGTATACAGAGGTTTCTGAGGTGATCAAACTGGTTAGATATTATATTTTTATGACATATTCTCTTGGTGATATTAAAAAAAAGTTATAGCTAGTTACTTCCAATTAGGATGAGAAATATTTCCTATGGGGTTGCTGATCTATAGCCTTTACTTTACTTCAGTTCCACTCTGTTGATGCTTGCAATATTTACTTCTTCTCTTGGGTATGCATTCATACTCTTTCCAACTCAGTTGATGGTCTCCTTGTACCTCACCCTCCCTCCACCCATTGCTATATATAGTTTCACCTTAAATCCTAATTGCTAGGGGAGGCTGAGGATGAAATTTGGGAAGGGATTTCTTAAACTGGATTTATTTCCAGACAGTTTACACCTGGGAGGCTAGCAGCTGATGGCTGCAGTGCCGAAAAGGCTGTGAAGCTTATTCTTGTTCTTACTGTTTATTTTATTACTCATACTTTGACAATCTTACTCTTTTTTCCCCTGCAGGCTGACACTGCTAACCTTGAAAGAAAAGTGCGATTGGGATATATTATGGGAAATCCCCAAACACCCACTGCATTGTGATCCATACTGAGGCAATATTAGCTCATGTACTGAAATTAATAAACATAGTTGGGCCTAAGGAAGTGTTAGGCTGGAGGGCCCTCTTTCTGGGAATAAGGAATGGTGAGGTAAATGGCATCCTTTCTGAGTTGAATTGGCAACTGATTGACAATCAAAGTAACTAGTTTTCTTGAGGAGAAAAGTTAAGTCTTTCCAGTACATAATGGTGGACGTTATTTGATCCCAGGATTATAGAGATGATAAGAAGTTAGTGTCTTTTCCTGAATTTAATCCTGCCTTGTAGGGAATCCCCCACCCCCAAATCCATAGGTGCTGCCTTTCATTTATGGATAAATAAACTCTATCTATGTTCAATATTTAGTAAATTATGTGACCTGATTCCACAGATTCCTATCTTGCAAGCTTCATCCTTGATGTCTTATCTTCAGTAGTGCTTACTGCTCTTTGATATGATAAGAGCAAGGGTGCCCTTTGCCTAACCAGAAGAATCTAGTAATTAGGGAGTGGTGACAATGAAGGAACTGGAACAGTTCTGAGTGTAACTGGTTATTTATTAATATCAGACTGCCTCCTATATTGTAGAGTCACAGGTAACACAGGTATGTGACTAAAAAGCTGTTTGATTATGTTCATCTAATTTCCATGTATTTTGGTGTGCTGAAAACAAATAAAATATTGAAAAAACTCCTAGACATCATGATTTGCCATTACATGCAAAATTGTCTTCAAATTTATCTTTTTTTATTTTTGGTGGTTTTTTTATATTATGGGTTTTTAACCAAATTTAAAGTCCAAATTACTATTAATTAATTCATATAAGTGCATTTAAG